GGCTTCACTCCTATTCCCTAGTTAAAATTGATCTGGTTAAGTATATAGTCACAGCTTTATTGGTGAAAACTGAAGCAAAGAAGGCATTGGGTACATCAATTTTGCCTGCATCATCCATTACTTTCTCTACTTCCTTGATAAGTAATGGACAAATATCTTTCTTCATCTTCTCCTTACTTCTAATCCAGGGCTATCCAACAGGCAGCCCATAGGTTGCATGTAGCCCCTAAAGCATTAACCTGCGGCCCCTGGGCTCCTAGTCCAGAGGACAATGTGTTACTGTTGACAGGGCCAAGGCAGTCTGGGGTGGAGGGGGAGGGAAGTGAATCAAAAACCCTATGTGTCATGCCAGCATGTTACAGTGTGGGGAGGGGCACATGGGACAGTGTGTAGAGCTTGGGAGCTCTGGCCCTGGAGCTCGCGGGGGAATATGCTGATTGGTATGGTGGGGGGGACACATGGCACAGTGTGCCAGGTTGCGGGGTCACTGACATGGTGAGGGGCACTTGTGTTCAGCCCTTGTGGGATGGTATGGGAGCATGGGGTCCCTTGCCACTCAGAAACTGGACAGCCATGTTCTAATTCAATTTTAGAACCTTTTCCCATTGCCTCTTATGGCCCTCACTAGTTGTAACTTGTTTTGTGCGTTAGTCTTCTGGATTTGGTGCCTTCACGCTCACGCTCTGCCTGCATACTCATCTGTGTTTCTGCTTTTTGTTTCATCCCTTTATAGTTTTCTGGTCATGAAAGAGCTGCCAATGCAATCATAATGGCTTCTTCCTATAGTATGCATCTTGCCTCTGCATTGGGATAGTTCCATTGTGCTTTTAATAATAGTCTCTTTCAGTTACTCCTTTATCTCTTAGATTATCATCCCATAAAATACCAGTTCTCCAAGTGTTCAAGCCTGCTTTTTAGAAGTCAGTTTTCCTTGTTCTGCTGCTTTCATTCCTTCTATTCTTTCTATAGGGAACTCTCTCATTCTGGAATCACTTAAACCCACATTACCTTCTACCTTTAGCTTTTCAGCTAATTAATAAGAATCAAACAGAACGTAGCTGTTACCATTGACACATCCTTTGCCGCCTCAAACAAAAAGTTGCCCTCAGCATATCCCAAGAAGTTTTTGGGCAGGGTGTTTCTATGCTGTTTTTCCAACAGAGTCTGGTAATTAAATTGCCATTAACATCAGGTCCTGATTTTTTTAATGCTTCTGTGAGTTACTAAAAAAAAACGGTATCACCTGCCTCCTCTTCCTGATTAAACCCTGTAGCCTCATCCCTGATTTTTCCCTTTTTCCCTTAATGTTGAGACATTCAAACAAATCTGCTTCTTATCTCTTCCTCCTCCTTATATCATTAAGCATCAGGTTTATATCAGCTGTGGCTTTAAAATTTTACTAGATAAGATAGTTGTCTCTGTCTACCTGCTATGGGGAAAAGTGTCCACATCACAATAAACACTCTCAAAGTTGATACAAGTTAGCATCCATGTTGTTGGTCCAGGATTAAGAGGCTGGGGATGGCAAAAGGGCAGAAAGACTAAGTTGCCTTCTTCTTCCTAGATGTGTTTCCAGGACATTTCAGCAGTTTTCATGGGTAAGAAAACTTCTAGAGTTGCTTCCTTTCTTGTATTCTTAGATAAATGTTCTGTCAATCCAGGACATTCCACAAGCACTAAATGAACGTTCATACACTGTTTGCAATACTCTGTGTTCAGCCACAAGGTGGCAGCAAAGATCCTTTTGCTCAGGCTTTATGAGTGTCTACACGTGCCATTAGTGTACAACAATAAACTGCAGAGCTTATTGCTCCACAGTTTATTGCTCCTGGGAAGCTCCTAGGCACACCATTTACACATGCGCCCTGACCGTAGCACACTGAGCTGGGTCACAGGCTGGCAGGGAGTCTGGGGGTTCAGCCTGCCAGCCTGGGGCTGCTCCAGCTAGGCTCAGTGTGGCTAGCTGGGGCACGAGGGTGCTTCAGTTTGGGGCTAGCCGTCAGGCATCCCCTACACTGAAGCACCCTTGTGCCCCAACCAACTAGGTTGGCATCTACACATGTGATGCTGCGCATGAAAATAAACTCTGGAGCAAGGCAGGACTTGTATTTACAAGTACTAGCCTGCTGCAGAATTAATTAGTTTGGTGCTCCCTAATAGGGCTACACATGTAGACACTGAGAATTTAATGTGCAGTTAATTAGTCATCGGCAGAGTAAATGTCTCATGTAGACGTGCCCATGGCAATTTATCCAGCATGCACAAGGGAGCACTTAATGGATGTGGAGAAGATGTTCCTCATACTTCCCTCCAGTGTGTAGGTCTGTTTGGCAGTAGGACTCAAGCAATGCAGATGTTAACAAGTGCTCTCCTTATCACAAACAGATCACCTGTGTAGGCTGTCAGCCTTTTACTCTTCACTTGAGCCATTTAAATAGAAACTGGACTATTTCTAGTCCAGAGCACTAGAAAAATGTGCTGGAGGGAAGAGCCCCTTCCTGGCAAGGGAACGATCTAGATCAGTGGAACCCACCTCATCTGGCCCCATAGGCCAGGTGAATGGCATAGGGATGGTTGGCGGGCCTGATCTGGCATGTGAGGCCACATCATCTGTCCTTCAGGGCCCCCCGCAGGTACAGAAATTTGGCAGTAGGATGAGTGGCAGAAGCATTAATTGTTGCAACTCAGGAGCCACAGCAGTTAACATTACCACCATTCCCCCACCTCTATATTTTCAGACCCGTGGAGAGCCCTGCATGCTGGATGACATGGCTTCGTGAACTGGATCCAGCCCACAGGCCATATCTTGGTCACTTTTGGTCTAGATATTTTGCAGTTCTCTAGCATCTTTAATCAGTCCCTTTGTAGAGTCAGGCTTCACTTTTCAGAAGTAAGATCCCTCTACCAGGTCATATGCAAAATAACCTGCAAGATTTCCCAACTTCCCCTCTTCAGTTGTGAGCCAGAAAGGCTTCCTGACCAAAAAGGCTGCATTATTTTTAATCCTTTTGGATGAAAAGGACGCCTGTGGCTGTGAGTTGCCTAGAACTGTGACTTGAGCGTTCCCTGCGGGGTATGGAATCATTGCTCTCCTAATCCGAGTGCAATTGGAGTCTGTCTCACAACAGCCGTTCTTTCAGTACCTTCCAACTGAAGAAAGAAGGGGAAGACACTATCCCATGTTGTCCCTACCTCACAGAGGTGGGAGGACTGCAATGAAGCAAGTCTTCTCCTAGTCTAGGAGACCTCTGGTTTTGAGGCAGGACAGGACTTACTCATGCTCATCATATACCGTTTTACTTCCTGTTTTGCTGGGTGGTGTACCACAGGCAAAGGGGACGGGGGGGAACTATTTCCAAGAGCACAGACTGCATCGCAGGAGAGATATTCAACAAGGCTGTGACATGTTGAAGGACTTAAACAGATGATTCAGTTCCAGCGTGTGAGCAGTCCCACTGCCTTCAATGGGACTAATCACTTTTAATTATTTTCTGCATCAGGGCATAACAGTGAATATTCTTTGGGGGAGAGCTTGACAGCAGAGGTGTAGCAGGGCAGCTTCAGGCCTGTGGCAGCCACGATGTACAGGGCAGTGCCAGCTGCCTCATGCAGATTGCAGTAGCTACTTTTGTAGCCCCCCAACAAAGATGGTGTCTGTAGGTACTGCCTCAGTCACCCCTTTCAGTTACGCTATTATAGGGTCTCCCAAACTTTAATACATGGGGCACACTTTTTTCTGGATCAAAATTGGCATCAAACTTGACTTTTACACCTGAAAGATGTGTGTGTATATATATATTTTTCCATGATGTATACTGTACTTACTGGAATCAAAGACAACTTTGAATTTAAGATGCCCCCCCCCCCCCTAGATTCTAGACATGAGTAATTATAAATTTGTTATAATTTTCCATGTCCAAAATCTAATTATTGGAGAGTCACCTTAAATTTGTCCCCTTCACTGCTGCAGTAGGAAAACTGTGGCAAGGGGCAAGAAGTGGGGAAAGCAGAGTCAGAGGAGGTAGGCAGGTGACAGGAAGCCAAATGCAGGTAAGCAGGCAGAGGAGAAAGCAAGGGGGGGGAAGCATAGGTGGGGAGAGAGCAGAGGAAGCAGGCAATTTGCCCTCCTCCACTTCTTGCCCCTGATGTCTCCCCCTCCCCACTCCACTTCCCCACCTCTTGTCTCCCTGCCT